AAAAAAAAAACAATAACATCTCAAGTCGAGGAACACACATGGCGGCTGTCATCTAAGAAGCCCACATAGGAATGCCCCCAAAAGGCCGTTCACCCGTGTTACACAAAGCTTGAGGCGTTCTCCATTATAGTTTTTAGCAACTCTGCATCAACCTCTAAATCTTCCGCGAGCTCTCTTACAGTAATTGAGATACGACGGTTTCTAATGTTTTCTTGGCGAATGCCATGCATCCAGATAAATCGACTATCTTTAGACAACAAAAAGAAGGCCCCACGTGGAATAAAAACGTCTACCGCCGTTCCATTACCGTGCACAAACGTCATCACTGCATCTTCCAGAAGGTTGAGTCCGCCAATACGATCACCCCATAACCAGGTATCATCGATGTGGGGATCTATGCTACTGCTATTCTCACTGGTGTACTCTAGTACCGATGCCTCAACAATACAGAACGGCTTCCCACTCTGTTGTGTGACAAAAGAGCTCACTTTCCCCAAGACATCTTTTAACTGCTGGGGCATCCATGGAGTGCCAGGCACCCTCAGTTTCCGTTTCTTGAAATTAGCTCGAGGCCCAAAGTCCTGCTTTCGCCTCCCACTTTGCGACGGCTTCCAGCCCGGAAAGGACGAGGGATTATCAAAAAACATCACAAGTTTCTCCTCCTCTAGAAGCGATAAAAAATCTGGCGCAACAAACAACCCTGCAAGACTGAGGTTGGTGACAGAGGAAAGTTCCACATGATCCGCACAGCTTCTAACGACTCTGCCATGCATCTGAAAGACTGAACTACATTCCCAGCAGAAGGAGTACAGACTAGGGCCTACAACAGCAAAAGAACATGAGGAGGTACGTTCTGAACCGTATTGCTGGGAAACAACGTCAGATGCCTTGGTAAGATCCACGCTTTGATGAATAATCGCTTGAGCACGATCAGAACTAATGCAACGGTCACAAAAGCGTATACCCGAGCAGCAGCATCCTTCCTTCATCTCCGTCTAGATAGGCACAAATAACAAAGGATTGTTGTAAAACAGAAGGCGTACTTGAGATAAAAAAATCCAAGCGATAAACAACCAATTCGATGACAGTAACAGTGCAGAAAAAAAAACAAAAGAAAACAAAAGAAGAGAGACAGATATGACAAAGAAGAGACTGGACGCTCACACCTCCACACACACACACACACACAGACACAGACACAGACACACACCCACATAGAGTGCGCATCTTTTTTTTGACCTTCTTCTTTTAAATTCGAACATGTGTACATGATTAAAACGATGTGAGCGCACTTAAGGGCATCCGCCCAGCACTCTACTTGGAAGAAATCAGTTTTTCCACCTCAACAATGGTCCCCTTGTATGATTGTACACTGTGACCGATAGTTCTTTCGTCAGTAAATATTTCGTAATCGTTGCCTCCTTCGTGAGTTTTGTCACCGAAAAAGTGAATCTCATCAAATTCCTTTTCAACAAAGCGAAGACAGTACGTCTTGTCCCATCCATCCGGAAACACATCAAAACTGATTTGACCACCGATAGAGTACTTTAACCCGTAATCAGGAAATGCACTGCGAAGCTCTTCAATGAGCTTCGCCCGTATGTGGTGTTCCTTATCGTATTGTTCAAACGCATCCCGTTCCGACTGTGAGCAGTTGCGACCGATAGGAGAGACGTTAATCATTCCATTGCGGTACTCGATGAAGGTACCCCTTTGAACAGGGATATCAATATCTGCAATTAGGCGAAGTGCTTTTTTCACAAATTTTACTATGCGCTCATTACCAAGAGCATCAAGAAGGCTTTGACGATGAATTTCGGCTCCATTCTTATACGCAAGAAGCCCATTTTCACTGAAAACATAGTCGAACTGCTGGAGAATATCCTCTCCAAGCTGTTCAACTTGCTTGGCGAAATCTGATCCGCCAACTGTACCCACCGAAAAGCCAGCCTTCCTGGCGCGGCGAATAATATCCTTCACCTCTTCCGTCTGGGGGCGCCTTGGGGGTGTAAGGGTCCCATCGACGTCAAAAAGCAATAAAACATTTTTCATTTTTCTGTAATATATTCTCTGGGAGATTCAATTCTAGATGAAGCCACGGAAAAAGCAGAAAAAAAAGGAAACAACAGAATAACTAGTCTTTGGGAAGGCCCTTCTGCGCATGCAAAACGCAACAGTAGACTTCGGGGGCCACCTCCACCCCTTTCCGAAATAACGGGAAACCCCCTTTTCCCCTCCGCTGCCGCCCCTTGTTCTGCCCAGTTTCGCCGGCACTGCGCCCCCAGGGCGCCAATAAAATGACAAAAAAAGCGAGAGGGGTCGGGTTCCCCCTTCCTCTCTTTTTTCGGACCCCCTGAATTGGCTTCGCCTCGCCGCTCTTTGCCCAATCTGTCTTTAGGGGTGGGGGTGCCGCTCGCGGCGCGGCGTTTTGGCACGGGCGGGCGGGCCAGGCAGGGAGCAAGAGACGGCGCCGTTTTTGCAGTGCCGGCTGTTGTTGGCGGGGTGTGCCCAGCGTCCTGGCGGTTGTCGGTGCACCTTCCTGGCGCGGGGGCGGCGGCCGCGGGTCGTGTGGAGGCGTGCGCTTGCTATTGCGTGGGGTGTGCGGGGGTTGGCGGCGCTGCCGGAAGATGGTTTATTCTCGGCGGCGGTGCCTGTGGGAACGGGCGCGTCGCTGTGCCGTTGTCGTCCGTATAGAGTTGTTCCCTGTCTTTGCCTGCGTCTTGGCGGCGCGCGCTGTTAACGCTTTTATTCTCATTCGCAAGCGGAAAATGCCAGCAGCTTTCTCGAGGGATAATAATGATAAAGCTAATAATAATAATGATAATAGTAATAATAAAAAGTGGCAGATGAGCCGCTGCCAAGGTATTGGAATGTGCCCTTGTTTCTTGTTCTGTCTTTCTTTAGTTCAACGCAGCGGTGGTTTTGTATTTTCAATTCTCATGAGAAGGTCGGGTCTTGTTGGTAGACTTTTCCCCGGCACTGGTCGTTTGCAGCACTCTCGGCGCCTCCTCGGGGACGAGTCCAAAAAAGATAGCGATCCGTTGGCTTTCGATGCTGTTGAAAGACAAAAAGAGGTTGATCCATTTCGTGTCGGTTACAATATGGGAATGCAAAGTGTTCACCTAGAAGCGATTCGAATGAAGCTTACGGATCACATAGAACTTTTCAAATCACATTTTCATGGATTGACTGACCTACTGAAGTCGAATCAAGACCAGGTTGCACAACTACAAGGGCAGTACAGTAAGACCGTTGTTAGTGAAGTAAAGGAATCAAATGGTCAGTTTGTAGCGCAGCTGACAGCTGTAGAGCGACAATTAAGAAATATAGAGGAATCACTGAAAAGTACGGTGGATGACCGAGTTACTGGACTTCAACGACATATCGATGATTGCTTCGAAAATTTGAAGGACACTGTCAAACTTGGTTTTCTTGTTCTTATTTTTCTCAATCTGTGGATGTTTTACACGATTTCGCAAAACCACCGTCAACTTATGCAAAATCGAAGTTTGCAAAAATTTTCTGGGTTTCCACCGCGAGGGCAAAAATGATTGTATAAACCTGTAAATAATTATATATAATATATTGCTAAATAAATATCAGAAGTGATGATATAGTAGAAGTTATACTATATTCTGTTCGATTTCTTTGCATTTTGCCCTCTTTGTGTGCACGTGTCTTTTCTTATTACGTTTGAGATTTATTGCGCTTTCCCTCTTATCATTTTTTCTTGTTTTTCTTTAAATATGTGAATCTTTATATAAATAGCCTGTTTTTTTTTTCTTCTTCCTTTTTGTGAGGTCTTCTCGCTTTGCTAGATGAATGGATATGCCAGTAGCGTCGTACGCCCAGCTAAAAGCTGCGGGAATACAAGAAGTTCTATGCGTATGTACTTTGGACACTAATAATGTGTTGGTAGCGTGTTTAGGAACCACGGACCTTTTTCAATTGGCTGTTGATGACTGCAGCATAAAGGTCACTGAAATATACGCTTTGGACTTAATGACACCAGCATCTAAATTGAGATATGCTTCGTCAATAGGGACTGTTTTTGCACTGAGTGGACATGTGGTGTATTCCGCATTGCTGAGTAATGCCACAACAAATGATGTTATAGGAATCCGTGATTTGTCAACAGCACGTGTCAGAGATTTTGATATTGTCATTGTGGAGGAAGGTGTGTTTGTTGCGCTTTTAGGGGAATACGAAGTATTTGTTTCTATATGCAGTAGCGACGGTACGTTTCCCTTGAGCCAGTTTTACGTGGGGTATAACGAGATATGCAGTTGGGTAACAGCTGACTGTTTGTCTTGTTCAGGACAGGGTATCTTAAGTTTTTACGGTGTGGATGGTACCTTTATGCATTCAGTCGGATCACGTAATCAGCCAGCAATATGCGCAAGCCCTTTAACGGAGTGCTTTTCATGTGATGATATACCGTTGAAATTTCAGACAGGAAAGAACTTTATAGTTCTTTTTGAACGTGGCGGGGCGTACTTTTCGCATTATCTTGTTGTGTACTCGCAATTAGCCAATACCATTTCGGAAATTCTAGAATTTTCTATTTTTGCTAGTTTGCCACCGAAATCCGTATTTTCTGTTGGGCCATGGGTTTGTGTAAGTGGTGTATTTGGTTTGGAGTTTTATGATTATCGCACAGGCGCATATGCTCAATCTTCGCTCGAAACAGTGGTGACAGATAGTTGTTCATTCGCAACCATTTGCATGGACTCCACTTTGACTCCTTCCGATGTTCTCTACTCGAAACCACGATATGGAATTGCCGTTTCTAAAAATTTCATTTGCACTTTCTGCATTCGCTCTATTATTGATGTCGTAGACGAACTAAAGGATGATGCTGCGTTTCATGCAGATTTGCTACAGAGTCTTTTAGTTTTTGGTCGATCTGTTCGAGCTAAAAGAAGGATGCGTTCTTACTGTCGACGTGATGCTGTGCTAGATTCAAGTATGCTTTTTTCTGAATATGGATCGATTTTGGCGAAGTTTCATATTCCACAGAGCGGTTTTCCTAGTAGGAAAAAAAGTTTATCTGAAAATATGAGGCGCAGTCCCGCATGCATTATTTGTGGAAGTGAATTTGTATTTGCTTCAAATCTTCATCCTTGTGCAATGTGCTCTTTGTGTGTTTGTTCTGAGTGCTCATTTGTACGAGATCTGCGTTTGTATGGGTATGACAGTATGGGTATGAGCTGTGTTGTTTGTGTTTACTGTGATGGAAGATGTGATCTCAATTTGTATCGTCTGTTTTTGGCACGTCGGTACACTCAATTACTTGATTACATGGAGCGATACCCAGAACGATGTTTCAAGTTAACTCTTACCCAGGTTATTCCTTCTGTTCTTCAGCAATGTTTTCAAGAACGAAAATATGATCTCTGTGCAGAGCTTCTTGAGAAATACGTGCCAAAAAACGGGGCTTTGTGGGATCAATGGGTTCTTCGCTTTGGATTGCAAAAAGAGATACAATGTCTTGCCCGTGTACACAATCCTAAAGATACGGATCAAACAGTGAGTACTGGTATTCTGCTTCAGCTGGTAAAATGTGATGCCAGAGTCTTATTTTCACTGTTACAACGCTGGCCAATTTCATCATACAGTGATCAAATAGTTTTACTTGGTATCGCGTCTCGGCTTTCTTTTAAAAAAAAAGAAGCTTGTGCCTTACAAGAATCATGCCAAATAGGGAAATTGACATTATGGGAAAGGCAGAATGCTATTAGTAGTCTCTATTTTGATGATGAAGTTGATCAACTTCTTCGGGCGTATCTTCATCTATGTTTTCAAAATAAGAGATACATGGATGCAGCAAAGGGTTACATGGAATACTTCATAATAATGCTTCCTTTTCCTGAAGAAAAGCGTGAAAGAAGTTACGAAATGTTTGAAGGTATTATATTACGCAGAGAACCTGTACGTGAGTTTCCACCACCAGATGTGATAGATTTTTGGGATTTGTTGACAAGCAATGGTATTCTCCATGAATTTGTGCGTCTAAAGGATTCCACTGGTACTACTGTTTTTTTGACACCTCTCCTCATTCATTACCGTGAAGAATTTGGGAGGTATCTGGTTGATTCGCTTCATGTTGATCTTATTGATGACGTATTGCAATCTGTCGTTTGTGAATTAAGAAAGGAACAACCTGGAAAACTTCTACACGTATTGGATGCTTTAACAAAAGTGTCCCCCGTAGTAACATCTTGTTATCATTCTCTCATGAGTGAGCTCTATTTGGAGTATGCCCCAGAAAAACTATTTTCTTTTATTCAGCATCCACAAGTAAGTGGTTTGGATTGGAAAAAGCTCGCTAGAGCTCTTGAAAAGAGGAATATGTTTCGAGAACTTGTTTACATTATCGGGAAAACAGGTAATAATGTGGAGGCGGTTCGCATGGCAATTAGGTGTATGAAGAGTGTTCCATTCGCTTTAGAATATATCAAGGATCACCCTGATGATCCACGTCTATGGAACTTACTTGTATCTAATGTGATTCAGTCTCCTGTCCTTATTGGTGATATTCTTGACGCCGTGGACGATTTTATGGATATTGAATTTCTTCTACAATCAATTCCAGAAAAGAACCGTCTGAATGTTCCACATATTGGACCCCGTTTGAAGAGGGCCCTTCGAAGCAAATGGTGCGTTGAACGTGTTGCAGAATCCTCAGTGAATTCCATTTTCGAGGATAATTTTGCGTCATTGGGATATTTGAAGCAACAAATGTGCAAGGCGGCGCGGTGTAAACCGAGTTCGGTATGTGGCTTATGTGGCCAAGTTATCTTAGGGGAATGTGTTGTGGATGGTTTTGGTGTGCCGTTTCACGATACTTGCTTTCATTGTCCGTCTGTGCAATGTCCGTTGAATACAAAACGAATATTTGGGCAAAATTGTAAACCAAGAAGAAATAAGGATGATTACTCTGAAATGGATTACATCGAATATTGCACCAATAGAGCTCTTGGTGTTACAAACCTGCTTAAACTTTTGCCTGAGGGACAAATTCACCACATTCTTTCCTACCTTTCTATACAAGAGCGGAACGTTTGTAGACGTGTTAGTCGTGGATTTCGAAAAGCTTTGGGTTCGTTTTACATGTTTGCTAAACGAGAAGACGATCATGTGCGCAGTCGCTACTACGCTCGCTTGGACAATACAGAGAGTGGGAGTTGCTTACAAACCGTGCACCTGGGAAAAGTTCCCTTGTGTAGTCCTTGATGAAGTGGGGAATCTCCATCAAATTAGCTACACTGTTGTAGTTTTTTTTTGGTCGTTTTTTTTTCTTCATTGTGTCGACAGACATGATAAAAAAGACCTGTTGGCGTGTGTGTCATGTGATTTTTTTGTGTCTTTTTTTGTCTAGCGGATTGCTGTCGAGAAGGGCCAGAAAAAAAAGGAAAATCAAATAAAGAAATCATCACAAAGGTTTTAATTTCTATTTCCTCTAATGACAGAATATTGGCATCGCTTGAGGCGTATTCAGTGTGTTCATGACCCTGTAGCTGAGGATAAGTGCCGTTCGTTTTTATGTCTTCAATCTAATGGCGACAAAGAAGAGTGCCGTATTACTACTACTTTTGCGCCCTCCATTCTCGCTGATTTCCTGGAACACGCAGGGTTTACGTGCTTCCAGGATAGCCTGAAAGGAATGACAACAAAATTATCGGATGATCTATCGTCGTGTGCAATACTTATCGTTTACGCTGGATCCAAAGAAATCTATTTTTCAAACCGAAAATCACTAGAGGCAATAGCTTCAAGAGTTATTACCATAGTGCTTTTGGCTGAACCCCTTTCTCCCGAGGAGACTCCGCCTCCTTCGAGTCATCACGTCGTGCTATCTGTTGCAACAGCCACCTTTAGTGGTGAGAGTAAGAGTTTTTTTGAGCATGTGCTTCTTGAGTCGATGGCAGTGGCAATGGAGAATACCAACGGATGTATTTGTGCTGATGACATAGCCTTCTCTTCGAATGACCGGATAAAACTCTCAGGTAGCTCGAATCCTGTGGTGATAAGGAAGATGTGGGGCAGTTTTGGGCCAGATGTTGTCTTCCGTTGTTTTGCTTCAGTTCGTGCTGAAAAAGATGCAATTGTGGATGGAATTACAGTTGGCGGACTCTTAAAGATTGTTCTGCCAAAGGCTCGCGTTCAGATACTACCGGAACGTTTGCAGCCATCACTGATTTTTTTAGTCTCTCCTCAGGGAAGACAGAGTGCTCTGGAGGCGATGCAGAGTTTTGCTGAACATGACTGTTCTCTCTCCTTTGAACCGGATACTGGTGAGAGTCGGTTGGAGGTCACATGCAACGTGGACCCTCAAACCGTTTTAGATGAGGTTCAAAACTGCATTAGCGAAGAGAGTCTTCTGGACATACGAGTGGCCTACTCCTTTGAAGTTTTGTCTTCTACCAGAACATTTCCATTGCTACAGGCGATTGCTGCTCACCATAGGGTTCCCGATGAGGAGTTGGGAGTCGCCATTGAGCAGGTTTCCATGTGTCAGTTTGCCGCTATGCCATTTCGCCAAATTATTTCACCACCGGTTCCACTAGAAATAATGGGTCATGACACCAAGGACGCCGATGAGGACGTGGTGTACACTGTTGGTGTGAAACAACTGCACGCGTTACTAACTGAGATTGTTCGGAAAGAGGTCGGAGCTGCTTGTGAGCCACTCATCCAGGTAGGGAGGGTAAATACAAAACCTGAGCCAAACCAAGAGGATAATAAACATTTTAGTGGTGAAGCAAGTCTGAATGAGCACTTTCAAGTATCAAATAAGAAAAGCTATATACAACCTATGCAAGCGCCAGAAATTATAAACTTTGAAACTATGAGGAGCTCCATGCGTTGGGACGTGGAAGGTGATACAGCAGATATGATGAGAAAAAATCAGCCACCTGGCTCCTTGGAATTAAGTCTTCTCATGGCGAGGCTGGACCAGATGGAAGCGAAACTGCAGAGTACAGAGATGCGACTCGCCAACCTAACAAATATTGATACGGATCAATTGGCATTACCACTAGCTGCACTACGGGCGGACATTTCTGATTGCAGCACGCGGATGGTGGCCCTAGAGAAGGTGGCAGTAAAGTATCCTCAGTTGGAGGTTGTTTCTTCTGCTGTTAGTGATCTTGAAAAGTGGAAAGCCATGGAGGCAGATGTGCAGTCGCTGAAGACGCGCCTCTCAGAAGTCATGCAAACTTCTGGGATACTACGAGGCGAGCTGGATTTTGTATCCGCAGGATTTCTGCGGCGCCTGGAGAATCTAGAGAAGAGGCGGCAGCCGTCTTTGCCATCTTTGCCACATGCGACGGAAGGTACAGTCGATGATCTTCGTTATCGGTTGAAATCTCTTGAGGAAGAAACCAGTTGCTTGGTGACCAAGGCAGTGAATTTTGACCGGGCGATAGCTGAGCTACAGCAGACGTGTGCCCCTTGCCAAGGCGAAAAGGAAAACATGCTTGAACACAAGTTGGAGGCACTCTCGCAGAAGATGGAAAACCTTTTGGAAGAGGCTCTGCAAGCCCTTCAACAGCACAGTGAAATGGGCGTGCGTGGTGTAAAAAAAGAGCTTTTCAACAGACTGGACAAAATGACAGACACATGGAACGAGAAATTTGAACACTTACGGTCAATACTCAGCACGACACAGGCGAAAGACAACTTGTGGCAAAGACACGAAAAGAAAGTAATAGGAGGTCAATGAGCGAAGAGCGATGGACGTCTCCCCACCACCCGATCCAAACTTCTGTTACTCTAAAACAACTTCATGTGCCGTCGTATCATGATGCTCGCAGTGCTTACAAGGGGATGCATGACCTTTGGGGAGGTACAAACACTCGCTGGAAACTTCATCAATCGTAACTCTGCTGTTCCTCCAATACACTTGGGTGGGGATGTGACTTGCATTTATCCTTATTTTTTTTCTTCCCTTTTTGTGTATGTGCGAAAGGGAGGGGATCGGTCTAGTGCCACTGGACTGACGTTCATGGGCCAATGGCATGCTTCCACTGGGAGGGCGAATGAAGAAGAGGTGTGCGAAACGGCATCTGTCGAGGACACACTCGCACCTCAGCAGGTTCCAGTCCTTGCATCTGTGCCAAATGCCAACTGTTCACCTGCTGATAAACCTCAGCGTGTCCCACAGATTTTTGGCTTCGGTCCTGGTGAGGATGTGAATAGTATTTTGCCGGTGCCATTTTCCATTACAATCGCCAATGCTCTCCCTACGAACTGTTGCCCGGCGCCACCCCAGAACCCGCAGTGGTACTTGCTTTACAGTAGTCTGCTTCATGGTCGTTCGTTCCAGCATTTAGTCCAGCGAATAGTGGAAAAGGGATCCACTATCATTGTGATTAAGAGTAAGGAGTCCCCACATGTGTTTGGGGGCTTTTGTGAGGAGCCGTGGTTGACTGTTGCCGCGCGGGAGAGGCGAGACAGGAGCCGTTCTGCTGCTGCCCAACGTGCGACACGCGGGGGACAGCGCATGGACGGGATTCCACAGCGGCCCACAAACCAAAATAATGCCTTCTTTGGTAATGAGAACTGCTTCCTCTTCTCAGAGGGTAATGGTGGAACCATCTACCGATCCAGACCTTCCATCAACTCGAATTTTATGTACCTTTTTGACTCACACCCACTGGCTACAAAGGAGGGCATCGGTATGGGTGGACAACCTGGTCACTTTGGCTGGTTTATTGACCGGTGGTTGGAGAAGGGGGCATGCCACGGGGCGCGCTGCACGACATTTCACAGCCTCCGCCTCAGCGTAATGGAAGAGTGGACAGTCGAATGTGTGGAGGTGTACGCTGTGCACCCGGAGATTGTCGAGNCAGCCTCCGCCTCAGCGTAATGGAAGAGTGGACAGTCGAATGTGTGGAGGTGTACGCTGTGCACCCGGAGATTGTCGAGGCGCTACGCAGTGCTGCTGCGACAACAGACGATGGGGAAAGTAAGGCGAACACATCGTGCCTGAGTCAGAGTGAGAATACCGTGGAAAAGATTTTGTTAGAGCTTCATGGCGTTTACCAATTCGACAGTCATGAGCGGTCAGAGTGCTAAGTTCGTCGTCAACTAGACCTGCATGGGATTGTGTTGTCGACACCCCCCAAAAAAAGTAACAAGAGCGGAGACGTGAAAAAGGGAAGAAAGAGAGAGAAAGAGAGAGAGAGAGA